GGTATAGCAAGGTTGTGGACCCTATAGAGGTCACAATTTTTATCCGATTTTTTTTTTTTTTTTTTTTTTTTTTTTTTTTTTTTTTAAAACAATATTTTCATTCAGGTTGTCTGAATGGGATTGGGCAACTGGCTTAGCCTATGTAAAACCCCTCTCCCTAAATAATTTGTATATATATATATCATTAATACAAAAATGTGTGTATATACATAGTTATAATGGCAAACACATACCTATTATATAAGCAAAATAAAATATAATGGGTGAAAATGTACAGAATATATAGTAATTAATAATTATACATATACAACCATAGTAAGAATTTTTTGATAATAGGCAACATTAGAGAGACTAACCAAAATTATACATAAAATAGACGATAAAATATTAATTGATCGAGTTTAAAATCTGTTTGACATATCTATAAACTTATGGACCTGGTTAAAAGTATTAGTGTTAACATCAACACTGTAGATTGTGGAACCAAATAAAAGACAGTTTATATTTTTAAAATTATGTTGTAATTTGTCTATGGTTTCTGTTCGTGAATTTGAATGTAAGGAACATCGCAGAAGGTAATGGTCGGGATCTTCAAATATATGACCGCAGAGGCACGTGGGACTGTCAGCAACATGTCTTAGGAATTTATGACCCTGCAGGTCAGAGCATCGAAGTCGTAATTTGCAATGAATTATTTGAGGTTTCCGCTGACCGTTATAATAAAACGAAGGAACTTTAATATCCGATTTTGTTGAAACTTGAAATGTAAGTTTATAACCCAAAGATCTCGGTTCCTTTCGATATTCGCGCATATCGGACCGTAACTTCCTGAATAATGGCCCCTGATTGTACGAAAAATCACTTTCTTTTTAGCTTGTTCTCTATCCATCTCTCGAAAATGTGGGTGTATCCGGCCTGACAGCCGCTGGTCTCTTAGCACACTGCATTAGACCAGTCAGAGCTGAACAGTAGGATGTTAAACATCATTTCATTTCAGTTAATCCAGTATTTTTCTAGCAAGATTGAATCTCTAATTTCTTTATATGCAAATAAGCCATACTTTTATTCGATATGGGGTGGGGGGAATGGTCTAGTGGTTTAATGCATGCACATGAAATCATAGGGTCTGTCATTGTGTCGCCTGTCCAACCTCGGTTTCCTCCTTTTGCTAAATACCCCTACGCGCAAAAGAATTATTCATATTAAATTTAACCATACCTTAGTCCAGAAAAGACCTAGCGCCAGTAAGTAGAAGAGGACCCATCCTACAACAACTCTACATGTAGGTTCATGCAGAACTAATATTACACATCATAACCAATTCTTTATACATGTAGAATGAGGCAGTATACGGGGAGAGGGTGGAAATGGAAGTAGACTACTCGTCGTAGTTGATTACCGGTATGCATGTAGGATGGATACACATTTTGGACTACTTGATTCGGCAAATACATGTACAAGGCTTTACATGTTTATGTCATTTCCCTCTCTCTGTTGTATACATGTATATAAGTGCCATATAAATACATGTGTATAAGTTCTTCAATGACAATGGATTCCTTTGTAAATTCTCAATAATTGCTTAAAACTGGAAGCTCGAACGAGTCACATAACATTACTGATTGGAAAAAATAATGAAACTATAGAGAAACTTCACAGATTGATTCTAGTTCTATCATTTATTAACTGTTCTTGAATCAGTGAAATAATATTACACAGAGGTTGAACGGAGTGTGTGGTGAAGATATCTGCTTATTTGATTAGATGTGTTTTTTTGGGTTTTTTTCTCTAAACAGAAATTAGATTACATTGCAAAAGTTCAACTAACACAAAAGTGTAAAAAGTTATATTCTATTCCGTGCCCGGGTTTATGTATAGCCTACTCTTGCCCAAATGTTTATAAAAAAATCATGAAACAAGAATCAAGATGGCCGCCAATCCACCCTCCCTAGGTATAATTTCAAAACAGATTCTTTCCTGTTGGCTGGCTCAAGTTTAATGTGATTCTATAATATAAGTTTTTGAACAACATTGTAGCGCCGAACAACTAATGTTAATTAAGCACGATTTTAGAATTATTAGACAGATTCAATTATAACATGCCGAAATTTTTCACTGTCCACACCATTGTAAACATGAACTTCTGTTTTTTTTTTGGTTTTTTTTTTTAGCAGGAAACAAAATACTAATATACATAGAAACAAATCTCGATGCTAAATTAAATACATGGTATTATTTTTTTATAAGTATTTACAAACCTGTGGTCTTGTATTCTCTGCCTGTGACCATTACATTTGTCAATCATATCACTGCTCAAAAATCATTTCAGCACGCTGTTAATGGTAAATGTGTGTGAAATCGCTTTATTTAACATCTGCTTCTACCGAGGTGATATCGCAGACAAAATGTAGCCTATTGTACATAGATTTTATCAACCAATTACATGAAATAAAAGTTTTACGCATTTTCTTGTCAAGCATTTGGAGTCAATTGTTAAAATCACACCGGGCATGCTCACTAGGCCTATTATGTAATCCTTTAATCTACCAGTTTATTGGGTCAATAAATTAATCAACAACTTTATTTTAACTACAGACATATAAAAAACAATTAGCATTCAAGTCTGTCTGGCTATATTGTCTGAGTAAAACAATACTTTTCTCATACTTGTGGACCCCCGAATTAAGATTTTGTATGGAGTTCAATTTTTAAAAACACAAAATATTTATTGACGGTACACATTACTTGTGTTAATGATATGAAAAATACACAAGATTTTATAAATCTACACAAGTTTGTGTTAAAGCAATGCAAAAGAACACAAGTTTTGTGTAAAATAATTTTCACACCAGTACTTGTGCACGAGTGTCAATAACAGCAGCGCAGCGTCTGTACATGGAGTGGACCAGCCGATTGATGAACACCATTGGCACCTGGAACCACACTCTCAGAAAAGCCTGGCTCAATCCATCGGCTGTTTTTGGTCTCTGTACAACATTATTAAGTTTCCTCTGAATTTCATCCCAAAGCTGTTCAATCGGATTTAAGTCCGGACTAAGGGCTGACCAGTGACACCGTTCTGCTGTAGAAAGTCCCGAGTAACTCTGGCGGTATGGGCACGGGCGTTGTTATGCTGGAAAACGATGTTTCGATGATGTGCGAAATGTGGTATGACGTTGGGTCTGAGAGCTTGATCGATTGGGCGCACTGCTGTGATGCAGTTTCCTCTCCCAGGACCTGATTTTGGAATACCAAAGTAACCACTCTCTGTTTCAAGCTGATTTCACCCTAAACCATTATGCTTGGACCCCCTCCCCCCCCCACGAGGCTCATTCCATGACACATTGGTCAAAATAATGCAGAGAACATCGACGACATATTCTGGTCGTGCCATCTGCAGTTGATACGCAATACTGACTCTCATCTGTGAACAGAACAGTTCTCCATTGCCGGTGTCGCCAGTTCTAGTGTTGTTGGGTAAATTGTAGATGTCCATGTCGATTGCGAGGGATGAGGATCGGTCCACGGTAAGGTCTACGGCAATCGATGTTCTCTCTGGTGAGTCGTCGGCGGTATTGATGGGTCTTCCGTGCGTTCCCACTGTCTGATGTGGATACTCCACGTGCTGTCGCACAACATAACTGTCTACTAGTTCGGGGGCGATCATCCGTGGTGTTGGTGTGGTGGCCCGAAACCGTTGCTGAAGCCTGTAGATGGTACGAACATTGACCTGGATGTGATTGACAACGGCTTGGGCAGTGTGGCCAGCGTCGGGTCTTCCAAACGCCTGGTTCCTCTGAGCTGTCTTGAGTCGTGGCATGCTGCTGGCGTTATAGTGTGAATGATTCAACCAGGTAAGGGGGGTGCATTTTATAGTGCTGGTCTCGGTGAACAGCACGTACAGCATGAGTTACATGAAAATCATGGAGAACACATTACCATCTCAGAAGTCAGCTTGCGTTTTTTGAGAACATTTCCTGGGTTCAATTCTGTGTTTAGGAAGGAGCCTTATTGCTCAGGTAAAGTTGGAGATGTGGTCACAAATATACAATAAAAACATTTGGCAAGTTTTATGCAATGCGTCTATTCAGAGTAACATACCAACCTGACGTTTCTTTTGCTGCTTAGTATAGATCAAAATAATCGTTGTCTGATCCTACAAAATTAATCTCACCAGTTACGCCCCTTTCCAACGATGACCGTGAACGTCCCATTTTGTCAAAAACTTCATGATTTTTAACCAAGATAGTATATTTGGCACGACGAACATTCAAATAACAAAATATAGTACTAATGTTGATAATCAATGGTCATTTGAACTTTTCAAGACAGTAGTCGATCATCAGTTAAAAGACGAATTGCGTGGAAAATACCGTTTTTACACATTTTCAGAATATTTCAGAAATCTAGTGCCTTGCGTTGCAGTCAGTTTTTTTCTTCTGACATTTACTTTGAGGAATACCCTCCCCAACAACAGCAAGCAATTCTATGTCAGACCTGCAAAGGAGCAGCTACAAATGTTTTAAGATGGCTTAGTTTTAAACATATGCAAAATGGCCACTGTAAGATTACTCACAGACACTTCCACACGAATCATTCATTCCCAACAACCGCAGGCTTTTAAGTCGACTACTAGGCCTATCATACCTGACAAATAACAAAAACTTAGAGTCACAACATTTCGGGTAAGAGAGTTTTGAAATTAGGGTTAAAAATTGGTCGGAATAGGTCAAATTTTGCCCCAAAACAACAATTTCCAGTTATACCGGAAATTGTCCGTTCAAAATTTGTTTGTTTCATTAAGTGACTTCTGTCGCCTAGGGTTCCCCATAGACCAAGTATGGTTGAAATTTGCTACCCCCAACCCCCCCTTGTTGTCGTTTTTTTCAATTTTGCATTGTCCTCTCGCGGCCGCATTCTTAATATACATTGGTTATTAGATTCTGTTTCACTTGAGGCAATGTCTCCTTTTCACACGCTTGTTTTAATTTGTATTTTAGGTATATTTTCCGTACTTATTAATTAACAAGAAGAGATATGCTGGTTTATATTGGACTAATCCTATTAAACATGATAAAATGGATTGTAAAGGTATAGAGACTGTTCGAAGAGATAATTCACCTTTAGTTTCTAATCTTATTAATACTTGTTTACAGTTAATCCTAATAGACAGGTAAGTTATGTACATATTAAAAATCACTTTGTATCTTGTTACATTATGGTACAGTATATGACAATCGGAGTTTAACGATATGACAATCAGTTGATTAGACAAATATTATATCAACTGTGTCAACCCTATCAACTAGTTTTGTTCATAGTATGATCGTGCAAATCATATCAACCCAATCAACTAAAACAATCGATACGATTGTAATGATCTATGTTTAAATATCGATCCAGTCAACTCAGCAGAATCTCTATGATGGCACGATCTACATGATCATAATCTTAGTGTCGATTCAATCAGTCCAATAGAGCATATTATCACCATGTATACGATCGTATACATCATATATATTCTATCGATCCAATTGACTCTATGTCCGTCCATACTCGCCATAATATCAAAAACATATCATCACCACCACAATCGTATAAGATCGTACACAATCATACACATTCTATCGATCCAATCAACTCTACATCCGTGTACGATCGTAGTTTCGGTCCCAGCATTTTCTTTTAAATTACAGACCTCGAGTGTCCATTGTTACCAACCGCTTTTTTGCTGTGGTGGGTTTTGGGGTTCTCAAATTCTGGGCACTTGCTGTGGCGGGGGATCTCCCCCAGAATATTTTGATAATTTGAAATAGTCCGATCCTTATGTAAATCCGTCGGCTTTTCGTGTAGAAATCGTGGAACAAGCATTATTTTGAAGGTTTTGATGTTTGATGACAAAAAAACAATGTTATGGGACGCCATTTTGAAAGGTAGCCATTTTGCAATAATATTCCAATTTATATTCTGTTTGCAATTTATTTTTAATGTTCTCGAGATATTAATTGTGATTTGGCACTGTATTGGTATTTGCGAGGGTCATGACTATATTTCAGTGCTTTTTTTCATCTCTTTATAAAGATATTTTCAAGATGGCAGCCATTTTTGGTGGGGAAAATGAGATGTGAAGATTTCGATTAAGTAATAGTGTTTGGTGTCAATATATGTTTTTGGGATCACAGGACCTGTCAACCCTACCGCATCACGCGGTAAGGTGCTGCGAAAAGGCCTCATGTACCGCTCTACTGCGCGGTAATAGATTTTTACAGCATTTTCAAACAAAGAGGTTTTTTTTAATTTTCTCGCCAAAACTATGGAACTAAGGGAAGCAACTCTTTGCATGTAAACAATAAAGATCGCGACTTTCGGTTATCAACATCGATTTGGGACATTGTAAGGTGTAATTTAGCTAAGAGAATTGATCTCAAATTCTTTTCAATCTATTTTAGAGTTAATAAAGCAGATATAATTATTGGCATGTGTTCCAAATACTCTTAAAATGCGTAGCGATAAACTAAACAAATAGCAACCAATTTACGGCAGCAATGGCTGACCTTTTCGTTTGCGCGCGTACGTACAGCATCTAATACAATACTTCGAATGCAACACAACCTGAAACTTTAATTTCAAGATGGAAATACATCTCACCAATTCTGAGATGCTCTCTCGAATAAATGTAAAAGCAGATTTACAGAATCATGAGAGAAAAGATCCCGTACATTGAGAGGATAATCACCATGGGTGGGGGTCATGATTAAATCGATATTAACATTTCGTCGTTGGTCATTATGCAAAACTAATTTTTTTACACCCCCTCCTCTATTCCTAATGTAGAAATACTATAGAATCTAATAAGCACACCAATTATCTTACATGAAACAATATTGACAAAAACTCTCGGAATGGGGAACACACGTCACAAACAAGGATATTTTTAGAATCATGCTAAGTTAAAACAAAAGAAAAGTGGTACTTCTAGTACTACTGAACTGGTAATTTTAATTATTTTTTTTTACGCTACTCATTATTTCTGTCTGTAGGCTACATATTCAATTTTGGTTTAATTATATCATTACATGAATAACTTTAGATATGGTTACCATTGCTTGTGTATATTTTATCTATTACCCATTCATTTAATGCAATTTTTGTATTGTTGGTCCTGATGTTCAAATGTATCATTTCTAAAAGTATTACCCTTGGAAGTGCGAATTTACACGTTTTGGGAAATCTACTGCCAAATCATGGTTTCTACTGTATTTTTTTCACTACCCTGCTGCATTTCAGCTCTGAGGGTTTGACAGGTGTGGACATTTGTAACTTTGCAAAATGATCACATGTTCACATACTTAGCATATTTCCGAGATGGTGGTCATTTTTGGCGGGAATATGGGATGACTAGCAGGATACCCGGCTTCACTCGGGGGTCATAACTCCGAAATTGGAAGTGGTAGACTAACGCCACCTGGCCTATGTTACTCCCCGGTCAAAGATACCCCTATACCCCAAATTTCAGACTCGGGGCAGACCTAGTGTAGCCGCCAACCCCAAACAGACCTGCTTCGCTCTGGGGTCATAACTCCGAAACCGGAAGTAGTAGACTAACGCCACCTAGCCTATGTTACTCCCCGGTCCGAGCTACCCCTATACCCCAAATTTCAGACTCGGGGCACATTTAGCCGCCAACCCCGAACAGACAGACTTCGCTCGGGGGTCATAACTCCGAAAACGAAAGTGGTAGACTAACGCCACCTGGCCTATGTTACTCCCCGGTCCGAGCTACCCCTATACCTCAAATTTCAGACTCGGGGCAGACCTAGTGTAGCCGCCAACCCCGAACAGACAGACAGACAAACGACAGTCACAAATATATATATAGATGTGCAGAATTAGATTAAGTAGTAGTGTTTGGTATCAATATATATGTTTACTGGGACGCAGATTCCATTTCTGACAATTACAACCATGTAAGATGATCTCATGTTCACATATTTAACATTGCTGACACTTATGGAGGGAAAATCGGACGATGTGCTGATTTTGATTGAGTAGTCGTCTTTGGTGTCAAAATATATGTTTTTGGGCGCAGATTCGATTTTTGCTTTAAACAACAGTTTAAAATGATCGTATGTTCATCAATTTAGAATATTTCCAAGATGGCGGAACGTTTTCTAAACATATTATAATCATTTATTTACTTGCTGTTGTTAATTACAGGAGTCCAATTCTGCTACGAAGGCTATTAGCTTGTAGCATATTCCTGAAAGCCGACACCGAGTCGTACCCATTTGGTATACTATCTAACGATGAAAATTCCTAATCTGAGATGACCACTGAGCTGATATCCTGGCATGGAGGCAAGGAGAGCGTAACAGCAGCGTGGGGCTTGCATAAATAAGCGTGGCAAGAAATTGACACACGACCACACCAGGCGCTTACTACGTCTAGCGCGCTCCAGTCAAGCTCTTACTACGCTCATGGCCAGACTTTGGCTATGAGCGCCGTGTTCCCATCATGCTCTCGTGGTTAGCCGTCAGGCCGCGATACGCAGGGCTGGGGCTATGACATTGCCAATGTAATTAATTACATTACCATTACTTTTTAAATGTAATCATTACAATTACTTTTTCATTTTTAGAAATGTAATTAATTACCATTACATGTACATTGAAAGTAATTAAAATTACCATTACCTATTACTTTATGACTATATAAATAAAAAACATTTTTCATAGAAATTAAAAAGACAGCCTTATTTTTCTGCCATGAAGCGCCTACAAAATCAAACTCAAAATAATCCTCCATTCACTTAATAGATATTTGTTTATGTATTGTCACTTCTAGCAACTATAACATCAAGGCAAATTTTACAGTGATGGGCAGTGGTGACAAAAACTGACATTTTCACTGCATGACTTGAAAAATTAATCAAAAGTATAGTTAATTAACTGTATTTTCTTTTAAGTAATTTTTATACGCCCACATTTTCATGTGGACGTATTATGCCGTCGCCCCTGTCAGTCCGGACGTCCGTCCGTCCACAATTTCTTTGTGGACACTCTACAGGTCACAATTCTTATCTGATTTTGACGAAACTTGAAATATAGGTTTATCTCCAAAAGATCTCGGCTGCTTTCGATATTGGCATGTATCGGATCGAAACTTCATGGATTATGGCCCCTGTTTGTACGAAAAATCACGTTTTTAGCTTGTGGACCCTATAAAGGTCACAATTTTTATCCGATTTTGTTGAAACTTGAAATGCCAGTTTATAACCCAAAGATCTCGGTTCCTTTCGATATTCACGCATATCGGACTGTAACTTCCTGAATTATGGCCCCTGATTAAGGTTGCAGCGATACCCCGGGGATGGCGATATATCGCGATAATTAGGTCAGGCGATAAAATTATCGTCTGAAATCTCAAATGTCGCCTTATCACGATATATCGCGATAATTTTAAAAAATATCGCGATTTTTTAATTTTATATCATAATTCACGTAAAATCCGTTCAAAATACTCGAAAAATGGAGAAGGGATCAAATTTCAAAGAGTGCCGATATATACGAACGAGATCTTGTCCATTTTGCACCACAGACGTCGGTTTTTAACGCAATGGGTCGACTGTCACTGACTGACAATAGGCCGCCTCATGTTTCAAGTCGGCTATATTTCACTGAATAATAATTAAGTATTAATCATAAGTATACACGTGTAGGCTACGGCTTGATATCGCTGGTCCCATATACCCCCCAAAAAGAAAGCATCCACAATATTTATGTAAGGATTCCCGACAGTTAAGTTTAAGTTAAACCGCACGCGACAATATACGTCGTCATAGCAACGAAGTGGTGGTTTATCTTTGATTACCCAGTCCGTTGAAAACTACATTGATAATGTACGTAGAAAAGCCACCGGGATAATATTTCCTTAATTCTTCAAATAAAATGGCTTCTGATGCATTCGAGATAGAAAATGTCAATGTTCCCGGTGACAGTTCGACACCGCGACTGCTGACAACGAAAAAGAACACATCTTCTGTGGTGTGGGAACATTTTGGTTTGGAATAAAACAAATGACAAGGACGTGACCACATGTAAAGTGTGTTAGCAGGAAATTAAAACTCCTGGCGGAAATAGTCAAACTCATCATTTCATATGGTATTATTGTTAT